CATTATCCTGCTGAATATAAGTGTAAAGCTCCATGAGACGACAATACCAATTCGTATTGAACCCCACTGATTATTTATTTCATTTGGGATTGTCATAATTCCGCAGTTTTCTGTCGTAAGCCCAGTTCAGAAAGGTTTGCGATCGTGACGAAGTCCCCCGTAAAATTTTTTCATCTAAACATCAACTGACAATTAGTATTGACGACATTGCATGTTATACGGACAGGGTCATCGCCGGGCGGCGAAGGCTGTACTATGGAAGGCAACGAAATGTTAGAGATCAAAATCTACCTCAAGCATTCTGGTAGCTGATGGCGCAGCAGTATGACGACGGCTTATCATGCTTATCACAAAGACGTCGAAGATACCAATCAACATCGGAGTGACCACCTCTCATTAACGGAGGAGTGAGACAGCGCCGTGTGATTACTGAACATCAGATAAAGTCGCCGTTGCCGGTCCCAAGCCCTGTTCAGAAAGGAGGAGAGTTGGAGACCGTGGCGAAGACTCAGTAAAAGTTCGCTATCTGCCACTCATGGTACTGATGCCATCAAAAAAACCTACCCACTCAGTCGTCCCCCGGGTTAACAACGGCCGCGCAGGCTGTTGGAAATATGAGGCAGACTGCGAAAAGTTGGCGATCACAGCCTCTTTATCGCCCCCTGACGCCGGTGTCGTAGCAGCACAACAACGGAAAAAGAAGACCGATGCGAACAACGACGAAGATAACAATCACCAACGGAATCGCTACACGTTCTGAATGGAGGAGGCAGACAGCGCGATGCCATTATAGCACGTCAGAAATGTCAACGAGAACGGCACAACCAGCAGGAGCTAAAAGTAGGAAACTGGAACATATTTTCAACCAGAGGAAAAGAACAAGAGTTAGCTGATGACGTCATGAAGTACCAAATCGACATTGTTGGACTCTCATCAACGAAACCCCGAGGGTCTCGCATCCTCAGCGTCTACAGGTGGAAGCAATTCTACTCAGGTGTCGATATCACAACGCGCGCACAGGCCGGTGTTGGGGTCAAGGTAGAACCCAACCTCGCAGAAAGAATCATTGACTGGAAGCCCGGCACCGGTAAGGTAAAAATCCTCCTACTGAAGCAACAACAGGCTAAAGCGTTGAATTGATAGAGGTCTATCTGCCCAATTTAGAGAGAGAATATGATACGTTACTCGCGGAAGTACAATGCGCTCTGTCCGAAGTGCCGAATACAGAATCCCTCATACTCCTGGAAGATTTTAATGCGCATGTTCGAACAGATGCTGAAAAGTGGATCAGGGTGACTGGAAAAAACGCCTCAAGCGATCTCAACAATATCGGTATGAAGTTGTTGCGGTTTTGTGCAAACAACGGACTATCCATTAAGAACACCTTCTCTCAGCATCGAAGAGTCCATCAGTATACAGGGCACCGGGAAGCATGTGTACAGAAGTCGATTATCGGTGTCATAATCGTATCGTCGGACTCTAGACGTTCAGTAATGGATATTCGTGTTAAGAGAGGCGCAGAGTCATCAACTGATCATCATCTTGTTTCTGGCACGCTGCGATGTAACAAATGGAGTGACACACGAAGATCTGGTGGCAAAAACAACCAGAGAATTAAATAGAAAACATTATCCTCGGTGAACACGAGAGCGAAATTTGCAAACAACATCGCACGACGGTTTGAACAGATTGCGCTGATGACCAATGATGTGGAAACTGAGTGGCAACTCTTTAAGAGCGGCATACTCGAGGCTGCCGTCGAATGCTGCGTATTTAAACGCGTTGACTCGCCGCCTGAAGATCAGAAAAGATCTTCATGGTGGACACGAGAGGTACAACTGGCAATTAAAGGGAACAAAGCAACGTTCAAGAAATGACTTGGAAACAAGGAGCGTTATACTAGCGTGCGATATGTCGAGGCACGCAAGGCGGCAGCCAAAGCAGTGGCAAAAGCAAAAGCTGATTCCTGGGAGAAGTTCGGTGAGGTGTTGGAGTCGAATTTCCACAC